TAGTATCGGGGCTTTTTCAAGAGTACTTGTGAAAATGCCCAGTATTGGCAGTGGTGTATCCCTACTTAATTATATATTATTTGGACTTGGAGTCTTGCATTGGTGGTGCTATTCTGCATTGCTGTATAATCATCATACAGCAATGCAGAATACCCCCAGCTATGACGGACTACACGTCCTAGCAATACAATATAATGTAAATCACCAATGCTGAATACCACCATCTTCTCGAATCCCCCCCATGTCTCAGTCACATGTAGTAAAGATGGAATCTTTTCACTCCTGTTTTCCTGTCAGTCTGGCCAGGCTTCTGCCTCCTGGATGTGTCAAAGGGGTTGGAGTCATAGTTTATAGTCTCACACGCCTCATCGGGGGTCTAAGCTAAGGGGACATGATTTTGAGGTGGATTCTTCTTTCTTCCTGAGTTATAAGGAATTGCTAGACAGATCTATATTCTGACATGAGGACCTATTCACTTACAACGGATGCTGCTCCTCTATGTTTAAAAGTTTTAGTTTCCTGCTGAATTAGCTGGTGCCCTGATATGCTGCTTTAGGGTGATTCCTTTCCCTTGCAGGGTGCTATGGAGCCACCCTTGTGCGCTACAAAGCTGTGTGTGTCTTCTAACCCCAGGCACAATAAGGCATGCCAGTCCTCTGCTCTCTGCTCCCCACTCCTCCCTCTTCCTCCCCCCCTTCTCCAAGCTAGTAGATGGACAGTTACTGGAGACTGCTCTGTCCTTTGTGATCTTCTACTGGACAGGAAGTTCAGGGAAGCTGAGCTGAGAGAGGTGGAGCCAGCTTATTGGAAACATGATGACTGTATATACTTGGACAAAAATATAAAGGAATACTTTACTGGTCTATGTATATATGCTTCATTTGGATTGCAAAAAAAAAAGTTTAGAGTTTAATACTTCTTTTAATTACTCTTCCTGAGCTTAGCACCTGGAACTTGGAAAGGAGAAAACATGGCTTACTGTACCACAAGTGAGACTTTCACAGGCACACATAAACCCAAAGGAGTGTCTTTAAAAAAATAAAACAGAATATGAACAAAGAACTTCAGCTATATAAATACTATGTAATAATAATAATAATTAAAACGGTCGGAAACTACTTAGCAACCAGCATCTGTTGAGACAATAAACACTTTGGTCAGAAGTATGTAATGTGCAGCACTAAACATTTTATTATGTATAAAACAATATATAGAGTGCAGAAGTCAGCAGTATATGACATGGTGTCCATTATACTGCTGGTCAGCAGAAGGAAAAAGTGCCCATCTCCCTTTAGGGCTGCAGGCAGACAAGGATTCCTTTTAGACATGTGCAATTAGTTTCGTTCCAAATCAAAATTTGTACGAATTTTCCGAAATTTGGACATTCAGACACATCCGAATGTCCAAATCCCATTGCAGTCGAATGTGTCCGAATCCGAATTTCTGTTTACTAAATCCTCTCCGAATTTCTGTTTACTAAATCCTCTCTGAATTTCTGTTTACTAAATCCTCTCTGAATTTCGTTCAAAAATGGAACTGAATCGGACATGTGACTTTTCTGGCCAATCAGATGAGCTTTTCGATTTAATGATATAATGGGTTTGAACTTGAATTTTTGTTACTGCAACATGGGAGCCATATACAATATATATATATATTAGGGATTCCTCCTCCTACTGACACCAATGATGGGACACTATTCCTCCTACTGACACCAATGATGGGACACTATTACTCCTACTGACACCAATGATGGGACACTATTTCTCCTACTGTCACCAATAATGGGGCACTATTCCTCCTACTGACACCAATAATGGGGCACTATTCCTCCTACTGACTCACGCCCTTCTGAGGAAGCCCCAGGTGTGGGGAGGAAACGCGTCAAGGGTTACGTGTGGAAAGCTTCCCTGGATTCTCTGGACATATGAGACACTCACATTTGTTTGCTCATCCCCTATACAAGTCCAGTTAGGAACGAACATCCTGCCTACTACCTGCCGGCTTGTGAAATAGAGGTGACGGAGCACAACTGACTGTGATATGGTTTCGATTGGATGGCTACTAAAATCATGCCTTTGCTTTGAAGGTTAGCGGGTGGCTTCCCGCGCCTTACGGGTAAATTCCCGGCTCCAATCTTGCCAGGCGCATCTTACCGTGGAGTGTCAAGTAGTCCTTCTCTCTTTCTGCACAGTGCGGCCGCACACGAAAGATTAAAAATCTTTGAAGAAGCTTCCATTTCAGTCACTGAAACCCACGGAGTATCTTGTGCCTTTGGAAAGTGCTGGGAGAGGGGCATCCGCAGCTCCTGCCTGTATTGAGGAGCTACATTCTCTGACAGTAATATCGTCTTATACTGGACACCTCTCCCGAACTCTTTCTTCCATCTTTACACACAGGACTCTAGCAGGTTCATTTTCCCTCGAGCTCTTTGAACTGCAACATATGTGAGTACTTTCTCAGATACATTGTTTCTCTTGAAAAGTACTTCAATCATCCAGAAACCTGCATAGATGGCCCTTTACCACACAGGTGGTTTGCAGGCAACCATTGTTATATTTATGCAGGCTATATCCAGTGGAATGTTTTAAGTGTTTTTAAATGTCTCTGGTGCATGAGTTTATTGTATATGTCTTTTTCTACTATTAAATATTGTATTAATAATTTTGATTTACTTGTTTTGAACCAATCTTCTTAGAAGGGATTTCCAATTTTTGGGGGAACGTTTTTTGTGAATTTAACGAAAACCATTCTCTCTTCCTGGTGTCCCAGTCATGTGATCATATCATAAGTCACATGACCAGTGCAAAGGGGATTTCCCATTATTCCCTGGTAGGTGCCTAGTCTGAGGAGAGATCTGCTTTTTTCCCCTGTTTACAAAATGGTGCACTTACAGATTTACTGGTTACCAACAGATTTCTTGTATTCTACCCCACTGTTTACCTGTTTTGCTAAGTGCAGTGGAAAACATTTGAATGGTCATGTTCCTTCCAAGACACTTTGCACCACACTGATCAAAACAGCCACATGTTTATACACACCACATGTCTGATGGTTGAGCTCAATGACCTCTTTAAAAATCGATTTTAGCATAGAGAGGGCACTCTAGGTGCATTGATTGTAGCCCCATGCAGGCAGGGTATAGGTGGCTGTCTACATAAATCCTTAGGCCCCTTTCACATGATCGGGTCCGCCTGTCAGTTTTTCAGCTCTATAGATGCTCTATTGAAGTCTATGTGTAAACGGACAAGTTTTTGTTTACACCTGGTTAACCCCGGCTCCAGGTAGGCCCGTAGATACAAACGGATCAGAGATCTGTTTAAACAGTCGTGCTGGACTGTGGGTAATCTGATGTAAACAAACACATATCAGTCTACTTCCGATTCCCCATGGACACACATGAGGTCTGACAGTTTCAGTTTTTACAAAGATGGTGGAAAAAACTGTACAGGCACAGATGTCACAGTGGTGACCTCCAATCCGTACCGCTGTGATCAGGAGAGGATCTGTGCATGGATCCTCTCCTGATCAGCTCATCTGAAAGGGGCCTAAAGGTGTCCACACACCTAGCGATAATCGTACGATAATCACTGGAAATCCCACGATCGTACGATATATCGCAAGGTGTGTGGAAGGCGTGCAACGACTTTTATCTTATGAACATGTCCGAAAACCCGCCGAGAATCGTACGATTGTCGGCGGGTGTGTGGCATGTTCGCAAGATAAAAGCCGCACGGGCCGGTGTGCGCAAGCGCACACTGCCCTTTAAGCAAGCATCGGAAGCTCGCCCCTCAGCGGGACGGGCTTGCGATCATCGCAAGTACGATCTGCCTGTTCAAGATAGGCAGATCGTACGTTTTTTTTATTACCTTACAACCATCGCAAGAAAAAGGTCTTGCGATGGTTGTAAGGTGTGTGCCCAGCTTAAGGCTGGGTTCACACTGTTGCACTGAAGCAGTGTACATGTTACTGCAATGTGTTATGCATGTTGGAACACTGTATGACCATTCATTCCTAATGGCACCTAAACACACCTTGTCAATGCAACTGTGCTGTGTTATAAATAGGGCTTGCACCATTTTTAGGACCTGTTCACACCAGCCACATGCTAAAATGGTCAGTTTTAGCGTGCAATTGGCATCCGCTGGGTGACATTGTTATGTGAGGCACCACTACACAAGGCACTGTTTTTGTTTTAAACTTGGTTGGTAGTGTACACTCCAATAAAGGTCCCCACACAGCAGTTTTATTTTAAACTTGGTTGGTAGTGTACACTCCAATAAAGGTCCCCACACAGCAGTGTTGTGTGCTGTGGTGCGCTGACCTCCCGTGCCATCCAATGCACCACAGAAAAATGCAACATGTCGGCATTTCTCAGCACATCATGTCAGCGGGGCATATAGAACACAATTGTTTTCTATGTGGTCTGGCAGCATTGATCAGTTGCAGAAATACACCAGTCACTGCTCATGGTGCAAAAGTGTTTTGGTGTGTCAAATGAATAGACTACTTTTCACAATGCACACTATGACGCATGCGTTATCACACTGAAACAGTGTAAATTCAGGCACATTTGTACTCCCATGGATAAGCAGGGCTCCATTTATCCTCACAATCCAGTGCACACCCAGCCTTTTTCCTGTGATCTTGTAATAAGGAGATCCACAATACATGTACCCTTACTGAAGCCTGAGGACAGACTTGAGAAGCTCAGCATTGTTGTGTAAGTTGTCACTCCTTACAGAGTGTTACCTAAACCCTGAGTGGTATGTGACTGAGGATGAGTCCTCCCCTGCCAGGAGTGATGTTATAAGACTATCTCCTCCCTGTCACTTTATCTCCAGCAGACTCTCTTCCCAGCACACCGCACAGCTAGCTGTCACCCTTCCAATGACAGCGCCTCTCTCTGATTGGCTACGGCTCTTCATGCCAACGGAACCGCCTGCTCATTGGTGCGCTTCGCCCCGGTCAACCATTGGCTAAGCCGGCAAGGTGGGTGGGGTCGGACCTGGGTCTGTTTTGCAGTGTATACACTCCCAGCTTCCGGTCCTTGCTGTATTCTTTGCCGTTACTCGGAGACACAAAGCGACTGGAGCTGGCTATTGCTGAAGGATGGCCTCTGCTCCTGTATAGGACGTGCACGTAGCCGCCGATCATCATGTGAGCCGCCCCGCGGACATGTCACTGCCCTGAGCAACGGGCCCTCCATGCAGGATGTTCGCTGCCCGGATCGCCACTGACGTGCCCTCGAGAGAGAGCGGAGCCAGCGGGGCAGGCAGGGGGGTCCCTGAATGACAGCCCCCGCAGCCCCAACATGGAGGTGGTGGGAGATTTCGAGTACTGCAGGAAGGATCTGATCGGGCATGGTGCCTTCGCCGTGGTGTTTAAAGGGCGGCACAGAAAGGTAAGACATGGGGCTGGGTGACCCTTTGTGTGTCAGGGGGGATGTATGTCATACCCTGGTGTACATGATGTGCTGCTGTCTGTCAGATGTCTGGAATGCAGAGTGACAGCTGGATGTACGGTCCCTGCTCTTTGTGTAACCACCAGTCCCCAGACAGCATATCCTCCACACTTCTACTGTGTACAATAAAACCAGTTTCCCAGTCACATCCCTCAATTGTACTGGCCAGAAGTCTCTGTAAACTGCAATTGTCAATGATTTATAGTTATGTTTGCAAGTTAGGCATGCAAACTGCTATTTTGGAGGAGGTCATTGAAATATGTACCATACCTAGCAACCCTATTGGGTACATTGTTCAGTGAATCAAGGCCACTACTTGTAAAGGTAAGGCTCAGCACAGACGTTACAATCTGATTGTAGAATCTCCTTCAGATCTAGCATGTATGTATGTAGTGCAAGGGCCTGTCCGATTGTATACAGAATAATTGCATAGATTAGCTACATCATTATATTACATGGTTTTGGTAAATCGAAAATCGATTTGCACAGTCAGATTCCAATGTGTGCACCTGTATGGCAGGGGTGGGCAACTTTGGCTGTCCAGCTGTTGTGGAACTACAAGTCCCATGAAGACTTGACAGTACAGGCATGACTCCCAGAGGCAGAGGTATGTTGGGATTTGTAGTTAAAGAACAGCTGGAGGACCAGATGTGCCCACCCTGATGTAGGGTGACCCCTATCCTATACAATCTGATTGTACAATCTCCTTTAAATCTACCAACATCTATGTAGTGCAAGTGCCTGCCTGCTTTGATACAAATTGAATAGAATGTTTAGATGTGTCCTTGTATTGCATTTTTTTGGTAAACCTACGGGTCACCATATGCATTGCAATCTAACTGTACTGTCAACTTTAAACTCACCACACACATTACAATCTGACTATACAATCTACTTTAGATCTGCCAACACCTATGAGTACAGGGGCCTGCCTGATTGCTACTAATTGATTGGATGTATTAAGTAGGTCTTCATATTACATGGTTTTGGTAAATCTAAAGTGTACATAGATTGTATAGTCAGATTGTAACATGTATGGTGAACCTCTTAAAACTATGTAATATGAGGACCTACCTAAACCATCCAACCAATCTGCATCCACTCAGATAGGTCCTTGCACTATGCAGGTGTTGGTAGATCTAATGGAGATTGTTCAATCAGATTGTGACATGTGAGGTTATGGTGGGATTGAACAGATATAATGTATGACCAGCCTTCCATCTCCAGAACAAAGAGCCTGGTCACTCAGATGATGTACTGTGGCTATGTTCTTCAAACCTGATACAACAGTGATGAAGGCTGGGTGGTGAGGCATGTATTAGAACCTTGGTTCTCAACTGGTGAGTCGTGACCCAAAAGTGGGTCGCGACCCCATGTTTAGTGGCTTGCCACATGCCTTCCACTTTTCTAGGTGAGAGACTCCTCAGAGACTCCTCAGCCTCCTAGCGCAACACCTTCATTTCTTGCGCGAGCAGCCATTCAGAATATGCTGCCCGGCCCTGTATGTCAGCTTTTTTGGGTGTGTGTGTCTGTCAGTGTTTTTGAGAGTCCGTTCACACTAGTACAGTGCGTTAATCACACAGTCCAATGCGATTAATGCACTGTACTACGCAATCGCACCTACTGCGCATTTCGGTGCGGAAGGTGTGTTGCGCTGCCATTAATTTGAATGACGCCCCAAATGCACCTCCTGCACCCGAACGTCCAGTACTACAATGCTGTGCATTCCAGTGTCTTGGGCCGCGACTTAATGACCAAGGACAAATGTGGGTCCTGAGGTTACACAGGTTGAGAACCACTGTATTAGAATATATCAGCTGTGCCTCACGTGGAGAATGGGTCTCTTCTGTGGATGTATATGGGATATACGTAGCCTGTTCCACCATCAATGCTGACTTGGATGTAACCCCAAACCACTCTATAGTTGATAAGATGTATACTTCCACCTGACACTTTGCTGGCTCTGGCCATAGAAACATTCACAGAGATCACTGAGCTCTCTGTTAGATGCAGGTAACATGTTGGCACTGCCAGGTCTATGGTGAACCCATCAGAGAGAACAGTGGCACCTCTGTACATGAGAAGAACCATTGTTTGTGTGCTGGCTTTGATGCTGTGCCCCGGAGAGTGAATGAACTGGGTTCACACCAAGGCCATGCTTATCATTCAATATTAGACTAGAGCAGGTGTAGGTAACCTCACCACTCCAGCTGTTGTGGAACTACAAGTCCCATAAGACATTGCAAGACTCTGACAGCCAAAGGCATGACTCCCAGAGACATAATGGGGTTTGTAGTTTCACTACAGCTGGAGGGCAGAGGTTGCCTACTCCTAGTGTAGAGTGAATATTTTGATGAACACCCAGCTGTGTTGATTCTGTGCAGCTCAATACAAAACTTGTGCTTCCTATAGGCACTTTCATTGTGCTCAGTTTTGTCACCCTGTTCTATCTGGTTCAGAGACACACCATCTAAATCAGGGGTGGGCAGCTCTGGCCCGCCAGCGGTTGTGGAACTACAACTCCCGTGAGGCATTGTAAGAGTCACAGCCTCTGGCATGACTCCCAGAGGCATGTTGAGATTTGTAGTTAAAGCACAGCTGGAGGGCCGTAGTTGCCCACCCCTCATCTAAAAATATAGCAAAGAATAGAGCAGGGGTAGGTTGCCACTCCAGATGTGGTCATACTGTTCCCATCATGTCTCTGGGAGTCATGCCTGTATCTCTCCAAGTCTTGTAATGGCTGATGGGACTTGTAATTCTACAGCTGGAGTGCCAAGGTTGCTATATACTGTATATGCACCACACCATGAAATATACAATACTATACATCATAGATTTTGAGCACATTTATTGGCTGTAAAGCTGATGTTGACACACGGCCAAGGTCAGAATAAACGCTTCTCCTTCATGTGGTTATTGGCAGGTTCACTTTGTTTTGGCATAATATGATTTGAGCTTTACAACCATTGATGTATCATGCCCTGAACATTGACATGTAGGACTAAAGGGTTTAATTTGCTAAGTGTTTTTGTAGTCCCCATGTACAGAATAGAATCCATGTGCCGATGTTCAGTGTCCGTGTAATCATTCTCTCTTGCCGCTATCACATTTCCCATAGTTGTCTGCCTGATCCTGGAACCATTATTTTCATATTTAGAAAATAATGTGAGTTCTATGAGGGGATTTGATCAAAACTGAAGCAGTTGTACATGGCAACCAATCAGCTTCTCTCTTTCATTTTCAAAGCTTAATTGAAGAGAGAATCTGATTGGTTACTGTAGTCAGCTGCTCCAGTTTTGATAAATTCCCCTCCATATATACAGTTTTATTGTGTTTTTGTTTTGTTTGTACTGAACATCTGTTTGTGGAATCTGGCTGCTTAGAAAAATGTATTAATTGTAACCCTTTTTATAAAACTCTTTGTCTGGAGCCGATTTGCAGTGCAACCAATCAGCTTCTCTTTCTCATTTTCAAATCTAAACTGAGCAAACTGAAAAGAGATGCTGATTTAGTTGCCATGGGCAACGGCTCCAGATTCTGTCTGCTATTTTACAGATTATATAAATGTTATAGATAGTAAAAATAAATATTACAGCTGGCACCTAACTTTTGAGGTTTTCTCTAGTTTCTGTCAATGGAGCTGACTCCTGGATTGAACAGACTGGTTTCTGAATTCTTTAATACATTGTCCATTGTTATTAGACACCACATGACACTAACTTCATTTCCCTAGTTGTTATCAATGGAGCTAACGCCTAATAAAAAAACCTGCTGGCTCCTGAATTCCATATTATTTGTCTACCATTGACATATGGCAATCATACGTTTAAGCCCCAGTAAGGCCCCATTCACACTGAGCGATTTATCGAGCGATTTTTGCAGCGATATCGTTCATATTTCCACACGATATCGCTCTATGTAGCTTCTCCAATCCATTTCAATGGAGCTGTTCACATCTTGTCGCTCAATATCGCTTGTAGCTCCTACATGACCCTTTTTTCAAGTGATTTCGCTCCTGATTGCATACAGCCCAATAGGAAAAAGTAGCGTGACAAGTCGCTCAATATCGCACGATTTTCATGTCGCTCAGTGTGAATGGGGCCTTAGTGGTAAAACGCATCAGTTGAAATTATTAGGTACATCGTCACCTCCACTTCCCTTAATAAAATAATTGAAAAGAAACAGAATTGTGGTGTGCTGCCTATCCTTCTTGTGTACATGGATTGTGAGAGGAGAGAAGGCCTGGAGTGCTTGACCTGGGTGGGGTCATAGGACTTGTGTAAACTTTCACTTGTTTTGGACAGAGTGAGGAAGGATATATACAACAATCAGCCATAACATTATACCCACTGAGAGTTTAAAGTGACATTAAACCCTCAGATTTTTTAACATAAAACAATACTGTAATGTGCGCCTCCATGGTTGTTTCCCTTCTCTTTGCTGCTCTTCCTTTTTAAATCCTCATGTCTTCTCATGCTGGGGGTGAACTTCCCTTTTCAGCTCAGGGCCTCTTCCTGTAGTGCTGGCTCAGGTTACAAGCCTATACAAACGTATACACAGACACCGTGTATCCATTCCTGAGACAACGCAGTCTGCTGCAAAACAGAAGTTCTGCCCAGCATGAGAAGACATGAGGATTTAAAAGGAAGAGCAGCAAAGAGAAGGGAAACAACCATGGATTACAGTAAGGCACACATTACAGTATTGTTTTAAAAAAATCTGAGGGTTTAATGTCACTAAGTGATTATCTCATTACAATGGCACCTGGAAGTGGGTGGGATATATTAGGCAGCAAGTGGACTTTTTGTCCATGAAGTTGATGTGTTAGAAGCAGAAAGAAATGGGCAAATGTAAGGATTTGAGAGACATTGACAAGGGACAAATTGTGATGGCTGGATGACTGGTTAAAGTCAGAGCAACTCCAAAACTGCAGTTCTTGTAGCATGTTCCTGGTCTGCAGTGTTCTGGATCTACCAAAAGTGGTCCAAGAAAGCAAAATAGGGGAACAGGCAACAGGGTCACGAGCGGCCAAGGCTCATTGATGCATATGGGGAGCGGAAAATTGCTGGAAAAGTATATGCTGGTTCCAATGGAAAGGTGTCTGAACACACGGTACATTGCAGTTTATTGCATATGGGGCTGCGTAGCCGCAGACCAGTCAGCGTACCCATGTTGACCTGTGTCCACCATCAAAAGTGACCTGTGCCCACCATCAAAATTGGCTACAGTGGACACAGGAGCGTCAGAACTGGACCACAGACCAATGGAAGAAGGTGGCCTGGTCTTATGAATTATGCTTTTTTTTTTTTAGTGTGTGTGTCGCTTACTTGGGGAAGAGATGGCAGCAGGATGTACTATGGACAGAAGGCAAGCCGGCGGAGGCAGTGTGATGCTTTGGCCAGTGTTCTACTGGGACACCTTGGATCCTGCCACTCATGTGCATGTTACTTTAGCATGTACTACCTACCTAAACATTGTTGCTGACCAAGTACACCCCTTCATGGTAATGGTATTCCCTGATGGCAGTGGCCCCTTTCATCAGGAAATGTATCCTGCCACACTGCAAAAATGGTTCAAGAATGGTATGAGGAACACAACAATGAGTTTGATGTGGTGACTTGGCCTCCAAATCTCAATTGTGCGTGTGTGTGTATATGTATATATATCCCACTGTAGAATTGGGTGTTATGATCACTCGGGACTCTCAGCCATATAGAGTGTCAGGAAGCAAGGGTTTGTCTGGATTATGCTTGGGATGCTGGAACTGGGATGTTTCAAGGTGATTCAGGAGGGAAGAAAGCTCCTGTCCTGGCTCCAGGGTTTAGCAGGGACCAACACCCAATGATTGTACAGGTGTGCATAGCCCTTAACCTTCTTGGCGGTATTCCCGAGTGTGGCGCGGGGTAATTTTCAGTACCAAAAGCGGTCCCCGAGCTACACTCGGGATTACACAGCGCTTCACTTACCTTCTCCCTACGAGCCGCGCTGTGTCCTCCGGCAGATGCCGGCATCCGTCTTCCGGGATATGAGCTAGTTGGACCTTTTCGGGTTGAAGATGGATGCAAAATCGACTCCTAAACCTACTGCCAGTTTTTAGAAGGCACTTTCTTCAAGCAGTGGTCCAGGAAAAAGTCTGCATCTTTCAAAAAGACCATATTTATGCAGGACAATGCTCCATCGCATGCATCGAAGTACTCCACTGCGTGGCTAGCCAGTAAAGGCCTTGAAGATGAAAGAAGATGAAAGAATAATGACATGGCCCCCTTCCTCACCTGACCTAAACCCTATTGAGAACTTGTGGGCTCTTCTTAAACAGGAGAACGGTGAAGGAAAACAGTACACTTCTCTGAACAGTGTCTGATCGTCAACAGATGAAGAAACTGACAGACTCCATGGATGGAAGGCTTATGACTGCTATTGAAAAAAAGGAGGCTATATTGGTCACTGATTTTGTTTTTGAAAATGTCAGAAATGTTTATATGTAAAGTTTGAGTATTATTCTCACTTTAACAGATGAAAATAAACAAGTGAGGTGGGAAAAATGTTCGGTTTCCATTTAGTTGCATAATAATTCTGCACACTAAAAGTTGCCCAATAATTGTGCACACAGAGATTATTCTCCTACGAAAGCCAAAACCTAACTTTTACTTTCTTAAATATTTAGGTTTGAGGTTTATTAACATTTTGGATTGACCTAGAGCACTGTAGTTGTTTAATAATGAAATGAATCCTCACAATTACAACTTGCCTAATAATTGTGCACACTGTGTGTGTGTGTGTGTGTGTATATATATATATACAATTCTTTCTATAGCTGGAGTTCAGCTTTAAATAAAATTTGTCATGAGAGAAAAAAGGAGGTTTTCATTACTTTCCTCTCCCTCTGAAAATCCACGTTTGATGTCTTGAGGATCCTTTTACTTTAGCACTTTGAGTCACTGACCGGCAGCTGGTGTACACAAAGGATTTTTGACGTTTCCAATCATTTCTAGATCTGTATACTTCTTCCATGTTAGTAATTCAAAAACTAGATCAGCATAATGGCCAGGCAACTGAGAGCTTCAAAAGTTGGCTAGTAATGGCAGCCCCAATATTTCTGTCATAACAGGTTTACTATTAGCCAGGGGTGGACAAATTAATATTGAGTTCAGGAGTCAGTCTGTTCATTCCAGGAGCCAGCAGTATTCTTTTTAGGTGCCAGCTCCTTTGAAAACTGCAGAAATTAGGCACCTGTTCTACTTTTTAAGGAGCTTTGGAGACCTGGTTCCTGGGATTTGCACCAGTGTTTACCTAAGAGACTGGGTTTCTGTCCACACAAGCTGTAAAATATTTAATTTCTGTTGTTTACAGTCTGCAGTATTTCTGCCACCTCGTCACATCATCACTGTGCTTTAAACCTGCTTGGGATAATATTTATTGCAAACGTGCCAGTCATTGGGCACAAATGTCTGCAAGGGATTTGGCAAGAAGGTCACTGGCCTCTGCCAAGATCTCAGAGAAACATGAAGTGCAACAGGGCATAATAACTTTGGACTTCTGTTGTTCTTTAATTTACAGCACATGCTCCTGGGGGTAAATATGTCTAAGTGGTTTCATCTTGTACTTTGTTTTGCAGAAAACAGATTGGGAGGTGGCGATTAAAAGCATTAATAAAAAGAACTTGTCAAAGTCCCAGATTCTGCTTGGAAAAGAGATTAAAATTTTGAAGGTAAGTGTCGTTCTTATTTGACTGGAAACATATATTCTAGTTATTGTGACATATATACTACATTGGTAGGGGGGAAAAAAAACATATTAAAGTGAGCCTGTGGTCAGTGGATGTTTACGTGTTTATAGTCTTTACAAGCACTACATGAGATGTAAAACAAAACTCTGACCTCCTGTAGCTGCAGGCACCGTGAAGCAGTTCATCCTCAAAGTTCATGGCAGAAACTCCAAAGTCACCCAAATTGGTCAGCACAATGGCGCAGTGGTTAGCACTTCTGCCTTGGGCACTGGGGCCCCAGAATCAAATCCTGTTCAGGACATTGTCTGCAAGGAGTTTGCATGTTCTCCCTGTGCCTGTGTGGGTTTCCTCCGGGTACTCTTGTTTCCTCCCACATTCCAAAGACCTGCTGGTAGGTTATTTGGCTTCTGTCTATTTGACCCTAGTATGTATGTATGTATGCATGTATGTGAGATAGGGCCCATAGATTGTAATCTCCTCGAGGGCAGGGATTGATGTGAATGTAAAGCGCTAAGTAAATTGTCGGCGCTATTAAAAATACCAATAATAAAATAAAATGCCTTCAAGCCAACTTGGCTCCCCCTTCTTTCCTCTCATATCAGTGACTTGGATAATTTCCAGTCTCCAGACTGAGAGGACAGCTTGAATGATTTAATGCCTCTGGTGTGAAGGTGAATTGCTCCACCGTGCCTACAGCTAAAGAGGTAATTGATGGATTGTTTTAAAGTGTATTTCCACGTTTGCAGTCAAATTTGAGAAAACCCATCTAACTGTTTATGTAATCCTATTCACACAGCATAAAGAAAAATATTTTAAAAAATATATATTTCTTACCTTTTTAAGATGTTTTGTTAAAGCAGGCAAGATCGCCAATTCCAGGTTTTTCTCATCACCTTCACTGTGATCTGTCCTAATAGAAAGGCTTAGGACTGAAATTTGAGGATTGTGTTTCTCTCATTCATTTAATTATTATACAATAGACAAACTACCTCTGATCCCTCACAGCCTCTCCTAACATTGCAAAGAAAGATATGTATGTAGATATGTTAACCCTTAAAACCCTAACCCAAGTAAAAGTACTTTTAAATATATTTTCTTAGCTTATGCTATGTGAATGAGAACATCAGTAACAAATATAAAATACGTGTTATCCCAATTTGGCTGCGAAAGTGTAAATACACTTTAATGCTTGTTAGATCATAAATGGACAGTCAAGTACTTATCTCACAGTGTCAACGGAATGATTGTTGCGTAATGATTGGCTGAATAATTTACAAGGCTGCATCATTAAAGCTGAAGTGCAGGTAAACATTTTAATATTCTGATGAAACATATATAAAAGATTTGTTTAACCTGCTAAAAGGATTTGCATTTCTATCCATTAAGTCATGAAATCTACACAGCTCCATCACACAGCCAAACCTGGCCTTTAATTTTTTTTTTTCTGCTTATGACTGACATCTACCTAATGTATGAGCTATGAAGAAAGGTTGTTTGAAAAAAGTTCTCTCAATTGTTGCAATATGGCATTTCTAAAATATTTTTTTAAAGAACAACTCCGGGCATATTACAATTAACTCTTGCAGTGCAAGGGTTAAGTGCTCATTTTGGTGTAGGGTCTAAAATAAAGAAGATTTACTCCCCTGATCCTCAGTCCCGCCTTGCTGCTAGACCAGTGTCGCCCCCCAAGCTTCTTCTCCCCAGGGCTCTGGTGGTCTAAGGACCCGGGGCATCATATCCATTCACTTGCATTGGATGTGAGGATGCTGAGGAACATTCCACAGCCGGAGCAGAGATGTGGATGGTATTGAGGATCGGGTGAGTATATCTTTTTTTATTTTAGACCCTATACCGAAACAAACACTTAACCCTTGCAGTACAGGGGTCACCCCCACTGCAAGGGTCCTTTTGTAATGGCCGCAGTTCTTCTTTAAAGGCCACTTTATCTAAACAATATTGCCTTGTGTTGTGTGATTTGTTTTAGCTGAGGAATCACAGTGAGGAAGTCGTGCCATTGGAGTCTCAGAGATAGGAGAAGGCAGAATATGATTCCATCCACTGTTGCCATCTAGACCTGAAATATGTGGATAGTAGTGACGTGCTTTGTCCTGTAACAACCTGTATAACCTTTGCAGGTTAGTTTAGCTATTGCAGTGAATACTGGCCCATTGGTTGCCATAAGTAAATGCACACCATTACTTACTGTACCATGCAGTTAGATGGTGTGTTGTGTTTATACTGAAGCTAACCGAAGAGGAGCAAAGCGGCTAGCATCCTCATATCTAAAGCACATGCATTAGACCTGATGATGTCACAGGCCCTTTAAACTACTGGAGCCCAGGGGGTGAAGAGGCTGCGTGGACTGGTGTAGCAACTAGCGGGATTGAGGATCAGGTGAGTATATCTTCTTTATTTTGTCCCTAGACCAAAACAAGCAGTTAACCATTGCAGTGTGGGTGTAGCCCCACTGCAAGGGATCATTTTTACAATTCCTATAGTTCCTCTTTAGGTCCTCATTTACATGATCTCCAAAAGGGGGTGTTTGCTAGATATTTTCAACACCTGCCAAGCAAGCATCAACTGGCATGCTTGAAAGGGTAAACTAAGCTGAACAGCTCAGATAGCGCTATACATTCACTGGGCAGCACATCACTTTATTTTCAACCACATGTGGCATATAGCATTTGACCTGGGCCAAGCCATCCACCTCAGTGGCTTCCACAGACAGGCCCCCAACCTGGAGTGCAGTTGACAGATGCTGAAACAACAGAGACACTGGATACTGTCTCTGCATCCATCTTCTTCCATATGAAGATGTCCTCAGGCAGGGCTGGACAAATTCCAGGAGCCAGTTGGCCAATGCTCCTTACATGACAGCTGTTGTCTAACATTTGAGGTTTTCTCTAGTTGTTGTCAATGGAGCTGGCTCCTAAAAAAAAAAAAAAAACTCCAATTTGTCCACCCTTTGGGTTTATTCTTACCCCTACATAAATGGTAGTGCATGGAAACGTATCGTAATACGTAGTGAGAGAAAAATGTTGGTGTGATTTATACATACCTTTTTAAATGATCGTACATCTGTAAATTGCTATCGCACCACTTTAGTTATTAATATTCCCCATCACTTGTGAACATGAATGATTTTGATATAGAACAAGCTCTTTGAGCGAGAAATCTGCTCTCTGAGGCCAAATCTCAATGATAAACCTCTGGGCGCTTAAAATGCAAATGAATGCCACAAAGAGGATTATTCAGCTTTGATAAAACAGATGCCATGAAATACTCTGAAGGTAATCTCTTTAGTAATTTAGTTAACCCCATTTTTGCTGCTGCAAAGAATTTTGCAACACGATAACGTGTTAATGGATCGTCAACATCCTCCACTCTGCCTAGTATGCTGACTAGTGGAATATAGATACGGTTATATTCCACTAACCTATATAGAAGGAAATGTGGCTGCTGTTGTGGTTGTATGGTATAGAAAACCCATGCTATATGTTTCTTTCCTTTTTTACTGCACAGATTATATATGTGTGTGTGTGTGTGTGTGTGTGTGTGT